GGCTAGAAATAGCAATATGGCGCCTCGCGTTTCCATAGCAAGTTCTAATTGTCAGTGGAACACAGCTGATTGCAACGAAAGCCGTCACGCTCATTGCCGACGGGACACGAGCAATCAGACCAATCAAGCCTGACCGCTGACGTAGATGATGAGGGTCAGGTGAGTGAAGCCGGCTGTAATCCCCTTCAGATAGAAGCCTCACGCTTGTTCTTAGCTACCACTGGGCTTTGCTGTCAGGGCAAGTCATGAAAGGCTGCACATTCGTTGCCACATTCTCCACCGCAACCTCCAATACGACCCCTTCCGAATCGAATGTCCAACTCCAGCCACCCCTTTCCACATTTTGCTCGATTGATTTAATAGCCGGCAGAAGAAGGTAGTGGAGCGGTTGTCACTTACACGAGCTACACCACAAAGCGCACAGAAACTCTATTAACCCAAAGCACCCTCCCAACCTGTAAGGGTGTGAGTGGAATGAAGATTCAGAATAAGGAACAATATATTTGAAAAATTGAAAAAATGTGGAAAAAGAGGAAGATAAGTTCAATGAGGCGGCTAGGAGGCAGACTGCCAAGCCGCCTATCATTCACAAGAAAAAGTGTACTCACAACTAATTGAAACGGCTACAAATCAGGACAGAGTAGGCTGGCACATGCTTCAATGGCTACAATTCGTAACCCTGTACTATTATGCTATCCGAAACCGACGCCAATTAAGGTTCAAATGAATATAAGGCTCGCTTACAGACAGGTAAAGCAATCAGTCGACCTCCCAGCCATACTCCGGTCTTTATGGTCAACCTTAGCTTGGATATCGATACCTTAGGTTTGATATCATCGAGAAGTAATTTGCAAGGGAGAGAGTCGCCCAGGGAACGGACGCTTTTTGAAACGGCTTTTTGCGAAGCATTTCAAATTACTTTCCTTTTTGCGTTCTCACAGGCGTTAAGAAAAAATGATTCTCGTTAACCACACTTAAGGGTAGAAAACGGTCCTGGAAATCTCAGGAAACTTCATATATCGGTACTGCGTCCTAGGCTGCTGTTCGCGTGTTCCTGTTGGGTGTAC